CCCTTGAATTGTCCATCTTAAAATTATTAAAATCACTAACTAGAAATTCTTGCTAGAAGCATCCTCAGTGATGTACTTCAATTCAAGGGTGTCCCATAACTCCTTGGCAGTCAAGGATTCACTATGGATATCAAATAGAGCATCATACATACCATTCAGAATGTGACCTTTGCAGATGTAGTCATCGTTGTCTCACTTCTCTCTCCTCTTTATCTCTTCAATCGTCTCAACAACACCTTCCTCAACCTCCGGTGGTCTTAGAGTAGTCAGCACGTATGCTACTTTCAAAGTAGTCAGCATGAAGTGCATCTTCCTTTTACAGTGCTTGAAATCGACGCTTTCAAACTTCTCCAGGTTTGCAAACTTCGTGGTCATCTGGCGGATTGAATCACCCATCTCCAGAAATAGGGAATATCAGTTCAATTGTTGGAAGATATAGGGTTTATTTTGGAGTTCTGGATACCCCTTGGACCGTGCGACACTTTCTGAACTTATATTTTTACCCTATGCCTGGGTTACAAGAAATTCAGCCTAGAATAATCCAAGAGGATACTTACGAATCTAGGTACATAAAATGTAAGCCAAATTGCTAGAAGAATTCTATGTTCATATGAATAAAAAAGAGAGCTAATGATTTCTGTGTCCCTTCTTAAAGAGAAGAGTCATTTATTTATAATAAATGAGATTAGGGTTTGCCTCTTAGGGTTGGGCCGTCATGACTCTACCCCTTGGAACCCGCTAGGTGTGCTGCCCCTAGACCCTGCCAAAGGGGCGTTGCCCCTTTGGAAACCTCAGACCCATGGGCGCTACCCACGGACCCCGACCAGTCGTCGAACCGGCTTCTAATTCGATCTTATACATGCATGTACTCCGCACATACATGTACATATATTAGAGTACAAATTATGAAGCCCCTTAGCTAACATATTAGTTCCAATTGCATAAAATGACATGGTGACACTAAAATCACCAACAAAAGGTCAAGTTAACAATCTGCTAGTAGTACTAACAGTTGACTGTGCCATCTTGCATACATAATCTTCTTTCATTCCTCTAGAAACTGGAATCAAGTTATCTTTTCATGCTCCGTTTATGGTTGTTAATTCGAACAAGTCATGTTCACTTACTTTCTCCGGTATAAGATGCACCAAAACATCAACAAGTTCTCAATCAAGAAATATGCAGCTGCCTTGTACAATGTTTCATATTTTAACCAATAACCCAAAAAGATAAGGGGTATGTATGACCTTCTGTGGGTGGGGTTGAATAAACGGGTCAAAATGAGTTTGAGTAAAACCGGGTAGGATTGGATTGGGTTGTCCCGTTAATATATTAAAGTTTTATATGATTTCTATAAATAATTAATGTAATAAATACGATTACAAACACTAGATTCTTATTATAGTAATTTAAAATTTTAAGTAAAATGATACAAGTTTATTTGCATTTGAATATATTTTAGGCAACTTTTATTCATTTTTTGTAGTGAATGTTGTCGGTTTTACATTTTTGACATGTTATCAAGAAATTCTATGCATGGATGTGTTAGAATATACCCATTTATCCTAATGGGTCGAAACGTATCAAAGTGATATGATGCACCATTATGATATAAACCGTATGTGTAAATCAACACAGGGTCATATGTGCTAGATAAATGACATGGGTTTATTGTGCTAGCATAGATGAACCCATTCTAGATCCTCCATTTTTACAATTGGCCTCCAAATAAGCAATTTGATTGACAAGAAGTTCAGTAATAAATAAGATCCATAATACAATAAATCAGTCATTACTGTTTTTCTGTATATGAGCAAATTACTAATTACCATATCCGAGCAAGATTACAAGTCAATAAATCTCAATCTTAGGTTTTATGAAAGAATAAACAATTACATCTAGAATGAGATTTCATTATAAATATCTTTTATTTTGTAAGAATTATGGAGCTTGGAGCATTGGAGGTGAGCAACAAGCATGGATCTTAGAGCTTGGAGCATTAGAACATGATGAGAAGATGGACCGGTCGTGTCATGGAAGAAAACTTGAAGATATAACCCGAGTCTGTTACATCCCAAAAATCATAAAAAATTAATTTTTTCAAAAACAACCAATTACTCATAAAGTGTTTACAAAACCATTGTTTCAAAGGTATAATCATAATCAGAGTATCCCAATATCCAATAAAAAAAAACAGGAAGATGTTCACGATCACGCCTTCGCTTTCCCGTGATCTTCTGAAGTACCTGAAACAATAAACTGAAACCGTAAGCCAAAGCTCAATGAGTTCCCCCAAAGTACCACCACACAACATAACAAACAATAGCATGCAAATATGAGCCTTCAGCCAGACTCGACCGCCTCGCAGGGCCTACAACCTATCAGGTCCAAAAAGTTTTAGAGTTGTACCAATGGTCCAAAATGCCTAACCCCACCCTTTCTCTCCCAACGTCTCTCTCTCTCTCTCTCTCTCTCTCTCTCTCTCCCTCCCTCCCTCCCCCTCTCTATTTGTGTTTGATAAACACCCAACAACCTATTTATAGATTCAAGAACACTCAAGAATATCTTCCTCCACCACCACCGTTCGACCACCGTCTGCCACTTCCATCTCCACCTAAAAATTTTCTACCACTTCATCTCTGCCAAATAATCATCCCAGAAACAAAAACCATACATAAAATCAGATCAGATGTACACACATACACACACGAACTCAGATGAACACACATACACACGAAAATCAGATGGACACACACACACACACACACACTAGAACACAAAATCTGATGAACGGACACCCTAACTAAACCAGAACCTCTCGATGAACAGATATGAAGCAAAAAACCCTAAATGAAGAACGAAGATGAATACCCTGACTGAAGAAGGAAGCCGTCGATGAAGACGAAAATCCTAACAAAAATACTTCATCTTCATGACTGGAAATCGAGGAGGAGACACCTGGGTTCGATTTGTCGAAGATGGGAGGGTCAAACAATGGTTGAGGGATCGAGCTGAGAACGACGATGAAACGAGATGACAACCGGTTCTTCCAGTTGCCTTCTTCTCGGCTGTTAAGCCTCCGACAAGGCTGTTGCCATAAATCAAGGGGTCAGCGGAGCAGGGCGTGAAGGAATGTCAGATCTCGACGACGACTGAAACCCTAAAAAACTAGAAGAGTGGCGGCTGAAACCCTAACTAGAGGCGAGAAAGAATGTCAAATTGGAGGCGAAAAAGAAGGTTTTTCTTCACAGAGCTGACGTTTGTTTATGAAGGGGTTTCTTCACAGATCCGACCATCACCGACTATTTGCGCTCTACACGTGGCGACATGGGTGATATTAGCAACCATGGTCTACGCTTGTTGGAACATGTTTGGATGTCGATAGGGGGTTGCTAGGGTTTGACATCTGTGGAGAGATTTTTTTTAATTGTTGTAAAGAAAATAAAAAACTAAGTTAAAAGGGAAAATTCATTATTTTAAATATTTTCAATTAACTTACACCAAATTTACAACAAATGAAATATTTTGGGCCACTGAAGCAACTCTAAAATTTTTTGGACCAAACATCCAATTTTTGATATACCATTGGACCAAACTTGCTTCTCATTTCGTATCTCGGCATCTCAGTCAACTTCAAAACATAAATACAACCCCGCAAGTCTTCCCTCAACGCCACGTCTTTATCATTGCAGGTATATCTTCCTTCCTCGAACATTGCTTGTTGAGTTACCCTAATTTGCTTTGATGTTCATTCACGTTACAAAATCTAAGGCATCATGCCATCATCTGATTTAAGCTGTTATGGATTTACGAATTTGAACATTTGTCCTAATCTGATTATTTTGCGTGAGTTTGCTCTGACCTAATCGATTTGATATGAGTTTTTTCTCTTAATTAAGTTCAGATCAGTTTAATATGGTTAATTAACACGGTATTTACACATAATTACCCTAGTTTCCAATTTTCCATAGGGTAACTTCCTGCTTATAACCATTGAAATGGAAGTGTATTTTGTACTTCTTATCTTTTTAGGGGTGGTTAGAAGTTAGTACTCATGGTTCACTTCACTCACTAATTATCAAGTATCAAGTCCCTGTTAAATGAAATGCATTTAGTGATATGTTATGTGTTACATGCACCCCCTATCAATGCTGTAGAGGATCATGTAAACTCTTGATTAATTAGACTATTTTCCAAAACAGTTGGCTATTTGTTCTCCTAATTTCAAAAAAAAAAATTTAGGAATTAATTAGGGAAAATGTCTCTTATTAATCATCATAGTGTTGCTAATAGTCTTTACTTATAGCTCTCAATTAACTCTATCCTCATCGTTGCACTTTAATAGTAAGTACCCCATTTACAACAACAAATTTTTTACCATGTGGGAGAACTACAGTTTTCCAAGTATTGTTATGGTTAACATCATTCAACTATTACCAAGTTAATTAGAGTACATGCTCTTATCCATATTTTAAATAGTTATTGGAACAAAAAGATGAAAAATTACAAGCTCACAATGGTGTTTAGGAGATAGAACTGAAACGGAGTTATCTTGAGTTTCCAAAATCTCGTTGGTCAATGTTGTTTGGATGATATAGACCATTTTCTAAATCAACTGGCAATCAATTCCTAACTAGTAATTACACACAAAAAAAAAAAAAAAAAAAAAAAAATAGAAACTCGTTAATGAAACTAAATAGAACCATATCTCTAGCGTTCTCAATATATATTTAACTTGTTCCGTGTTTTAGTTTTGTACTTTTGTATACAGCAAAAGACCTTATTAAGCCTCGGTCATCCATCTATTTGAATAGAAACTGGTTTAATTGATATTAATATTTTTGGTTATCTTTTTTTAGTTTTTTTATTATTACTGAGATGATGGCATATTAGCGTTTTTATTTGAGAAGAGCAGCGTCTCTTGTTCTCACTCTATCTGTTGAATAAAATGGCGTATTTATTTTCATTTTGCAAGTGTAGGAGTGGGCAAGACAAGGAGTATGACCAGAAACAAGAATCAAGATGATGATGATAATGCATCATCATCATCATCATCATCATCATCAAGCAGGAAGAGGTTCAAGAATTTTGACCACAATGGTGTGGCATTTTGGTCGGATATTAACCATGATGTGCTTTTTCTAGTAATGATGCAACTGGGATTTGTTGATTTTTTTGCATTCAGCGGAGTTTGCAAGTCATGGAGGTCATTTGCACTCTCTAACAGGAACACATTTATGGCATCCAAACCTCCCATGAAGATAAGTATCGAGCCCCGTGATAATAAGGAAGACTCTTATTGTTGTCTGGAGGACTTCAAAGTACAAAGGTTTAAAACCATCCTTCCCCATTCTTCTGACAGAATCTGTTTTGGATTAACATGTGGTTACTTGGTCTTGTTCGGGAGGGAAACCCGTGACTTCTGGCTTGTGAATCCTATCACAAAGCATGAACTTCATTTCCCTTATTACCCCTTATATGTAGCTGCCCGTATAAAAAAATTAAGGACCATACTTGTCTTTGCACCTTCAATATCTAGGTGGGTGTTTGTTTTGTTACATAAGAAAATATCATTTTCTATAGCGGGTATACAAGGATGGCATCATGTCTCCTCCACTTGTATCCGTGATTTACAATATTTCAAGGGGAAGATATATACCCTACACATTGATTTTTCTTTACGTCAACTCAGACTCGGTCTGAAGCAGAAGCACAGATGGATGTTACTTACCAAAAATTTTCCAAACCCAAAATTGTTTAATCCGCAGTTTGTAAGTTCAGGTGAAAACCTTTATGTGATGAGCCACTCTGGGTTACTCCCGAAAAGGGTTATGGAACTTGATTTTGGGGAAATGAAATGGGTGTTGCCAGATAAGACAATGTATGCTTTCTTTATTGGCAACAGGAATTATTCTGCTGCTTTTAAACTCGGGTCATGGGCTGACCCTCAGACACAACACAAGAGCTCTGAATACTTCCTTGGCGATGATAAAAGTAGAAAATGCATGTTCTTTTATGAACTGATGTGGTACTTCCCCCATGATTGTTTGAATGTTTTTCGTTTTGATGAGTAGTGACTTGTTACCACTCTTTATCTTTGTTTTGATTATGGACTATAAAATTCTCATACGTAGAACATTTTCAAGAGATTAAGAACCACTATTGGTGTATTTGGCTATTTGCTTCTTGCAACTTATTAATTAAACACTTTGGTTGCCACTCACCCTTTTACTCGATGGTGATCCTGTTATTGTTATTTATTTTTGTTATGGACTATAGCTTGGCTGTTCTCGGTAGGGGGACACTTTATACAACATGCAGCATAATGAGAAGATCATTAGGGTAAGAAGAGTAAGAGAGAACGTTCTCGATCTCTCTCTTGTTAGTTTCAAATTCTTCAAGGATTTCATGGTTTTGTTCCACCCCCTCGTGATATCAACTATTGGTTGTTTATTAGTAACTAGTTGTGAGACCTGTGTACAACACGATTTTAATTAAAAAAAAGTCAAGTATTAAAGTCTAAAGATCAAACATTTTTAAAGTAAAATTTCGAAATAAATACCATCGAAATTATGAATAAGTACTACAATCAATACTAATAAAAAAATTCGATCAACATATTTTAAAGAATTTTCCTTAATCACAAATTTCTAAAGACTTATTTGAATACACCATTAGATGTCATACGATTAAGTTTACGGTCATTGTCTAAAATTAACATTTCTAATCTATATATTCTTTTAACTCTGGACAATGGAACATAAAACTGCCTATGAGTGAACATTGATTGTCTCAAAACATAATAATAATAATAATAATAATAATAATAATAATAATAACAATAACAACAACGTTATGACATACTTGAACTTCATAAATCATAATACATATACATATAATGCTAGGCGAAATCAAATCTCAAATATAGTAATCAAAATATTATATTTTAATCAACAAAATCTATTTAAAATCAAGATGATATTATAAGAAAAAGTTGATAATCCAAGATTATAACTCCATGAGACTTTTCTAAAAAGGTATTCGCCCATTATCCTAACCAGGCTAGCAATGGGCTTTCATTTTAAACCCATAGACTTTTTCTAAAAAAGTATTCGCCCATTGTATTTTCATTTTAAATATATCTTATCGGAGGAACACTAAATGATGTAATAATCATCAAACAAAGATTTATATATCCAGCAGCCCCACACTTACAGTGATATGGAAAGTACATTGCTAGTTCTTGCATTTAGAACTATGCTCGCAATTGTATGAAATGTAGCCAATGAAGGACTACAAAATCAACTGATTCGAGGGGATAAACATAAGTACATAACGGGTGAGGAACCTGATAAATTTATCAAAGCTCTAACAATAGATGTAGCTACCTTATCCTAAGCATGTAACAGCAATAGAAAGATATCTTTATATTAGAACCTTTTTTTGTAACAAATAATTCTTGTAAACTATAGTTTTATATTCAACAACTGCATACCATCTGTAAAGAAGCATTCTCATGACAACCTCTGTTCTCCACTGGTTTCAAATCTATCCATACCAATATACCAATGTACAGACTCTTCTTTTGGACAACTGGAAACTTTTTAAATGAATAAAGCTTTAAACTTGCGCATATACCCTAATATGCATATGCCAACATCAGATTTAAGAAAACACAAGATCAATTTTAACAACTTTGTAACTAAAATTTACAACCAAAATTCCAGTACTCTATTTCAAAGTCGTGCTATCTCTTTTACTTAGTCTTGCAATTTCCCCTTATATAGCTGCTTCATATTTCATATATGACTTGTTAATAGCCAAATAGAAAAGCCATGCATTTAATCTATAGTGTATAGAAACACAAAAAGAAAAAAAAAAACGACAGGAAATCATAAAACAAAAGTGGATGGACAGATCCCTTGGCCTTCTCAATAATTCACAATCACATCTTTATGCTTTCAATTTTCTTCTCGGGATTCTGATCAATTCCAGACCTTATTATCGTAACTGAGATATCGAAAGTAATGATCTAAGATATTGAAAACAATTAGGAGAGAAAACAAACTTGAAGTTCTTGAAACAATACTGTGACAACCGTCAATTTTCAGTCTAGTCAAAGTCAAATAAAGTCAATAAGTCAAACCGGTCAACTCATATAACCCTAGTATATATTAGGGTTTACAATATGTAAGCTACTGTACAACTCGCTATTGTAATAAGAAGTTATCACTTGGAAAGTTCGTATGATTGAAATTCTTAAACCCTAAACGGGATAAGTGAGGTAACAAAACGATAAAACAATATTGCATACCCTTCGGGGGTGTGTAAGACCCTTAAACATGGCTTAACGGGGTTTACGAACCTTGAGTTGCGAAGCTAAACACTCAAAAAGGTCACAAACCAAGTCTCTTTCAATCTCTCTTTATCAATCTTAATCTCTCCCAAATCTCTCCCAAATCTCTCCCAATGTCTCCCAAATCTCTCTCAAAATCTCTTCTAACTTTTTAAAATCATTCGGGTCATCCCGACCCTTAACCGGGTCAAAAACCACTCGAAACGGGAAGATTTCTTAAAAAATAGCCTATTAGGGCCGAAGCCTCTCTATAGGGGCCGAAAGTACTAAGGACCAAACTGATGAAGGACCGAACCCGAAGCTGCTGAACCGAACCCTGCTGAACCGAAACTAGCATTGGACCGAACCGAACCTCGGAGGACCGAAGGTCCCTTCGGACCGAAGCTCCATCTGCTCGCTTCGCCTTCGCCTCCCATGTGACATATTCGCCTGTAAGCCTCTCGGACCGAACCAACCTCTCGGCTCTCATCAGACAAGCGAACCTACCTTCGGTTCTAATGGCTAGGACCGAACCTCCGACCCTGAACTTCGAATATTCACAACTTTTACCCGGTTTTCAATACTTTTAGCGTTTTGAGCCCGTTTTTCGTGATTTTAACGTGGGATTTTCACCCAAATCCATATTTTAACATTTTTAACCCTCTAGGATCATAAAATATCTATATCTTAGAGATTTTCTAAAAATCAAATATCTATTATTCTTAAGGATAAGATCTTGACTCATTAAAGCATTCTTGACTTTTCTCACCAACTTGTGACACCCCAGGTCAGTATTCATGCTTTAAGTCACCCATCACATCACCCCTAGTCTATTCCTTGTCCCCTCTCACCCTTCTCCAGCAAGCCAACTTGATTAAGAGCTGGGAATTCCTTATCTCACCTCTAAGAGGTCCATTCTTTCACAATAAGCTAAACACCTTTCTCTCTCTATTTTCTCTCCAAGAAATTCGAGATTCTCTAGGGGTTTTGAGTTCTTCATCCACTTTTGGTAAGTAAATTTCGTCCTCCACTTGATTATCTTACACCCCTTCACTCAAATCATGGGTTCCTTACACAAATATCATCATATTTGTCGTTAGATCTTCGAATCTTCAAGCATCTTCTAAGTGTTCTTGAGTTGAAAACTTCTTTTCTTCATCATCCATCTACTGAAATCACTCAAGGTGAGTTCATACCCCTATTTTTTCATGTTTTTCTTAAGTTTTAAGGGGGGGGGGGGGGGGGGGGAATACAAGTTAAAACACCAAGCACACAACTAAACTCATCCATCAGCTTTCATCAGAAAAGTTTAACTCCATTCACGGACTGTTTTGGACAACTTAAACATTTTAGTTTTCAAAACTGTTTTAGGTGCAAATAGTTCAGGTTCATACCTTTAAAATGACTACTTGCACATCTCCATACGATTTTTATACAGTTTATGGTGATTTTTACAAAACTGCCTATCACTGTAGCTACGAATTCGGACCAGTCTGTGAATATGAACTTTTTCACACCAGTTAGAGACTTCTAAAAATCATAATAAAAATTATGAATAAACTAGACACATTTTATAAACTCTCAGAGTTTACGGATTCAGTTTTCGACTTCGTATGATTTTTCTATGATTTTTCTAAAAACAGTGCAGATAAGTTAAAGGCTACTTACATAGTTTACAATATTAACAACACTTTGTAGTATGTTGAGCAAAGTGCATAACAATAAGTTCTAAATATTGAATGTATTTTCTTGTTAGTTTATCATCATAAATAGAAATTTAGTCATTCATGATAAGGACTCTTCATTCATTTCGAACACATATAATAAATTACTATAAGCATAGTTTATGGGTTCTTACTACGTGAAAAAGGTTTTTACTCTCAAAACAAATGGGTTTTTCATATACTACTTGATAAAATATAATAGTAATAGTGTAACACCCATAAAATTTCAACCAATTTAAAACATTTTATTTCATTCAAAAACCATTAAGTTCATACATCTTGTTTTCAAAATAGTTTAAACATCAGAGTATTCCCCAGAACCATATCACATAAATCATAAAACATGAGGAGCGGTACGATCACGCATTCGCCTTGCCACGATCTCCTGAAGCACCTGAAACAATAAACCATAACTGTAAGCCCGAAAGCTTAGTGAGTTCCCCCAAAGCACCCATACACACATAAACATACGCATACAGCAAAGAACAACATACTATGGGTCCAATCAACCTTCCGGTTGGAATACCCCTGGCCCTCAACCATCGGGTTGGAATGCCTACATACTACAAGCCCAATCATCCTACCGGGATGGAATACTCTCGGCCCACAACCATCGGGTTGGAATGCCCATACACCTATACGTACAACAATAACTACTATGAGTCCAATCATCTCGCAAGATGGAATACCCCAGGCCCCTCAACCATCGGGTTGGGATGCCAACCTACTATGAGTCCAATCATCCTACCGGGATGGAATACTCCTGGCCCACAACCATCGGGTTGGAATGCCCCACTTCCTATACATACAATAACTACTACTATGGGTCTAATCATCCCTCAGGATGGAATACCCCAGGCCCCTCAACCATCGGGTTGAAATGCCAACCTACTACGAGTCCAATCATCCCACCTGGATGGAATACTCCTGGCCCTCAACCATCGGGTTGGAATGTCCCTACACTAGCAAACATGCACACATAACAGGCAACCACATAACACTCTACAGAACCAAC